AGGGTGTACTCAGGAGAGTTATACAAGACGTTCATTCATGACACATGAAGAGACTTGGGAGAAAGCATGCAGGCCAGGGTGGAACACTAAAATAAATTTTGCTGCAGTGGAAACAGCAGGACCAAATCATTTTCCTAAAGACATGATCTAATTTCTGAAGGAAAATTGGGAATTTGGGGGCAGGAGAAAAAAATCGTATAGATGAGGCAGGAGAGTTATTAAGTCACAAGTCACTATGGGGTTCTGAAAATAACCAGGCTTAAAGGGGAAAGGTAGGGATGGGGGGAGGGATATAAACCTTAGATGTAATAGTGCATTTCCAGCCCTGTGCTTATTCAGATTTGGGGGATAGGTATTCTTTGCTGGAACCATACGCCAAAAATTTGGAGGAAGCAACCAATCACCTTCCCTGTGCTTCCACACACACCCTGCCCCGCCCCCGACAGCCTGTTTATCATCTGTGACTAACTGAAGTTAAAAGGTGGATTCTGAGAGCACTTTCCTCTCCTGCTGCATCATGCAGTGAAACTAGGCTTTGGAAAGATCTGAGGCCATTATGACCTTACCATTGTCTTCCTGTGGTGGAGAATAATAGCAAGGCAGGAATCAAGTTCTATCAGGTGAGCCGGACCTGCACAAAAACAACGAATAATTCCCCACTCTCCCTCTTCAGCCCTTACCTTGCCTTTCTTTATGCTTTACTAAACCACTACTGATGCAATGAGAAAAAAAAAAAAACAGGGAGCAAAAGATGAAAAATCTATGCTGAGCAGAAAAACGGAGGAAACTTCTGGAACACAGGCCAAGTTAGAGCAAAATGATACAAATCACTGTTAAAAGGTGTATAACAAAATGCCCTCAAGCTTTTGGAACTAAGTTCAGAAACAGCTCTATGTTTGTCAGAGAATAAATGATTGAAAGTTGTACAGGTCATGTCCCTGAGTTGATTCGTACTTGACTTGTTAGCCCTGTCTACAGGGAAACTGATACATAGTAGGAGAAAATACAAATATTAAATCAACTGGACTTTGTTATATATAGTTTTGCTTGCAATTTTCCTGATAATATCTGTTGGGGAGACATTAAATCCATCTCATGAGAATAAAATAGTTTTTTAATCACAATATCTTCCTCCAATCTGTATATATTCTTCATAATAGATCTGTACATAGCAAAAGTAAAAGGGCATAAGAACAAAGTCCTATAAATTTGAAGCCTTATAGTAGTTTCTGAACATTTAAAGAGCAGCAGAGAGAAGCACAGTATTTTAATTTCCTTGTACCTCTTGTACCTAAAGATCCCACTTTTTCATATGCCCTACTCCTAGCTCCCACATCTTAAGGATACAGCCTTACAATATTTTTCAAAATTACCTGCTTTAAAACCTTCATCAAACTCAGAGGAAAGAGCTATTTCTTCCCTTAGTGATACATTTTACTTGAATTTATGTTCCTTTTGTTTCCCGGCTCCACTCCCGACAATCTTTACGATCTATAATATTCTTACAGGAACTAGAGTACTTAATAAACCCAGCCTAAACTTGAAATCTCCTTAGAGAGATTCCTTTTAGAAATTTATAAATAAATATTTACCACACTCCAATTATTTTAAAACCATCAGTAAATATAAATTTATTTATAAACATAATAGTTACATGTTTTTTTTCAGGTATCTCCTTATTTCTATACAGTCATTTAATGAAACTATCAAATCTATTAGTTTTACAGTATGGAGGTTCCTCAAAAAACTAAAAATAGAATTGCCATATGATCCAGGAATCTCACTCCTGGGCATATATCTGGACAAAACCATAATTTGGAAAGATACCTGCATCCCTATGTTTACAATAGCCAAAACATGGAAACAACCTAAATGTCCATCAACAGATGAATGGATAAAGAAGATGTGGTACATGTATACAATGGAATACTACTCAGCCATAAAAAAGAATGAAATAATGTCATTTGCTGCAATATGGATAGAACTAGAGATTATCATACTAAGTGAAATGTCAGACAGAGAAAGACAAATATCATTTGATATCATTTATGTGTGGAATCTAAAATATGACACAAATGAACTTATCAATGAAACAGAAACAGACTCACAGATATAGAGAATAGACCTGTGGTTGCCAAGGAGGAGGGTGGGTGGGGGAGAAATGGATTGGGAGTTTGGGATTAGCAGATGCAAACTATTATATAGAGAATGGATAAACAACAAGGTCCTACTGTATAGCACAGGGAACTGTATGCAATATCTTGTAATATACCATGATGGAAAAAGAATATATATATATATATATGAATCACTTTGCTGTACACCAGAAACACAGTGTTGATAAATCAACTATACCTCAATAAAATAAATGTTTTTAAAAATCCATCAAAAATTAAATCTATTAGTTTTCTAATAGGTTGTTAATATTTCTACCCATTCAACTTATTAAAATGAAACAGAAGTTAAATGCTACAAACAAAACTTAGGGGGGATAAAATGTTGTTGGAGAACCATAAAATTAGATAATTTTTTTAAAAATGAGTGAACTGAGATCTTAGTAAGGATAGTTCTGCTGGAAATATGCTCCCCTTACTATGAAATACTACTGATTTATTGACATCTACCCTAAAGGCCATTTTAACATTTTAGTTACAATATCAGCGTCTTCCTGACGGTAGATAAGGTAGTTCTTGACGTATTTTGTTGTCTATTAATGTGTAAGAAGTTACCAAAAAACTGAATGATCTAAAGTAACATTTTTATCTCACAGTTTTTGTGGGGCAGGAATCTGAAGGCAGCTTAGCTTGATACTCTGGTTCGGGGTCTCTCTCAAGGCTGTGTCAAGGTGATGGCCAGGGCTGCTTTCATCTCAAAACTCGACCAGGGAGGATCAGATTCCAAGCTCACTGAGGTGAATGTTGGCAGGATTCAGTTTCTGGTTGGCCTTGCTGGCTGTGTGGGACTCCGCACAGGGCAGGGCAACCACAGCAGCTTGCTCCATTAGAACAAGCAAGAAGAACGGGAGAGAGAGAGAGAGAGAGAGAGCACAGCATGAGCTTCCAAATTTCAGGAGCGACATCCATCACTTTTGCCCTATTCGATTCTTTAGAAGCAAATCACTAGGTTGTCTACACTCAGGGAGAGGAGATTGCACAAAGTGTGTGAATACCAGGAGGCAGGTGTCTTTGGGAGCCATTTTAGAGACTGCCTACCACACCTGATATGGGAAATTCTTTATAATTCCAGAGCTTTTTCAGATCTCAACGCTTTTGGATAACAATTTCCAAGGGTTAGTGGGTTTTATTTTAATAAAATGTGGTCTATTTTGTACTTTCAGATTTTTTAAATAGGGGGGACGGAGAAATTTCTTATAGGCATTTTAAAATAATTGCCTAGTTTTCACTGATTAATGCTATATCTGAACATTCGATATATCAAAACCACTTTTTTGACTAAACAAAATTAAAGCGAGTCAAAATGAAATAATATATTTTTCCAAAATATGCTTCAGTATTGAGCTAGATAATATCATGGAATATAGCTTGTTTGACACATCTGTCATTCATAACTCTCATTTTACAAATAAATTAAGATAAAGGGCCATGATAGGTGGACATTACAATTGTTTCCAAAAAATAAACAAATCCATAAAACAGTCTAGTCAATTCTTTTTAAAAACTTCCCCTTCTCACTAGGTCAGGAGTTCTCAACCAGATTTTTTTGTTTATTTATAGATGTCAAAACTTGATGTGTTTGTGCATTTTCTGTAGAAGGAGTTAATAGCATTCATGAGCTTCTCAGAAGAACAAGAACCATTGTCCTAGGCAACAAGAATTTAGGCACTGAATTCTCATACAGAGTCTCATGAATTTGCTTCATATAAACACAAAAAAGAGTAAAGCAAAATGTATTTTCTTTTAAACTGTCCATTTCATCAATGTAACTAGTGTTGAGCTCCATATTCACTCAACAAATATTTATTGAGTATCTACTAGATGCCGGCCACAGTTCTAGGCAATGGAAATACAGGTCCCATCCTCAGGGAGTTCACATTCCTGAGGGTAAGAGGGTGGAAGACAATAAACAGTAATGTATACAATATTTGGTGTGATAAGCGTTGTGGAGAAAATAAGCAGGTTTTTCCTGAATTCTTTCAAGCTTTCATGGAAATATACAATTCACCATAAATCAGCCCTTCTGATCTTTCATAAAACTTTTTAACATCAGTAAAATACACTCAGTTCAGTCCAGCGAATATTTATGTAGCACTCGCTATGGGCTGGGTATTGGGTCAGATGCTGGAGAAACAGAGATGGACATGCTTCTCTGAGAAGTTTATATTATGGGCTTAGAGGGATCACTTCCTCTAGGAATCCCCTCTGTGATCATACAGTAATCTGGGCATACCTTGATTGTGCTTACCTCCAAGTCAAATCTGTTTAAGTGTATCTCTTTGCTGCTTGATTATGAGCTCTTTGAGAGCAAGACATACATTTCATTAATCTTTGAATGCCTAGTGCTTGGGGCATGGTAGTTCAAGAAATGTTTGTTGACCTGCACTTGAAGAGACAGAGGGATTGCACATGCCCCAGGACTTTCTCTAACTTCTATTTTAAGTAGTAAGATGCAGAATGACTGACATTTTTCCTCCCTTAGGTTTTAGTCAAGATCAATGAATGTCGTTGATATGAGATCTGTTATGACATAAGAAATGTCTTCATCAAGACCATATGCTTTCTTTCTAGGGAAACTGGTTAGAAAGACAATGCTGTGTTTTATCAACCAAAAAATGTTCTTCATCTCAGTCCTCTCCCCCTTTCCTGACCTGAGCTGATGGCACAGCTCCAGCCATCATGTTCCATCTCAGCTCTTGCCCTGAGATCAGCAAGTGACCTGGGAGATGGAGAAAACAGGGTAATGTTATTAAGGCAATGAACTGATCGTGTCTGCTTCGCTGGCAAGTTTTAGAAAAAAGGCACATATTAAATTTTCCAAAACAGGAATCAGATTCAAGTGTCGGGTCTTCAGGGAAATAAAGGGATAGATAAAAATTCAAATCAAACTGAACTTCTCAAGGTCAGTGTGTACACTCTATCAAAACAATTATTAAAATCATGCAACCATTTCTCTCTGAATAAGGATGAATTCTCTGCCCACACCCATCAAATTCTTTTTTTATTCTTAATTTTTGTCAAAGGCAAATGCTTTTCCACACTCAGAAATGCATTCTTGGTCCTCCGAGTATTCATTTTATGCCAAGTTTCAAAGTTTTAATTCTAAACTCTTTAGTTTAGCTTTTGAAGTATACATTATAGCACAAAAGAACTTTTGTTTGATTCAAACAGTTAATCATTATTTCCATGAATTCTTGAGAAAATTACTTTTAATCTAAGAAGTAGAAATTCCACCAGATAATCTCATTTTTTTTGAGAATATAACAGATATGAGGACATGGAATCAAAGGCCTGCATCCTCATTTTGTTGCTACCTTCCTGTATTAATACAATTAGTAATATGTTACTATGGCCCAGGAAGAGTTGGGTTTATATTAACAGTCCTAATAATAAATTAACAGCCCCGTATCAGCCAGGAGAGAACTCTCTAATAGAATGGCACAGTGCTCTGTCATTGTCTTTTTTCTTTAACACTCTTCAACTTTTTAGATGAAACTGTAGCAGGCATACCTTTTTAAAAAGTAATGTAAAATATATTTTTTATAATGTCTTTAAATTATAATAATAGTTCATGCCTAATTCAGATAATTTAGAAAACATGGATGATGGAGGAAATCATCCATTGTGGTGTGACTTTTCCTTCTCATGGGCAAATTATATTTCTTGAACAAATGAGCATGGCTCTGAAATTTTTTTGTGTTTGCTGGATGCCCATTTTATAGGCCTAGCAACATATTAACTAAATTTATGAATGACATGGAGAATGGAAGCATAGCTAAGATAGTAGAGGAGAGAATTAAGATTCAAAACCTCTCCACAGTATTGTACACCAACTATACCTCAATTAAAAAATCCGAAAACAAACAAGCAAAAACCTCTCCAAGAGGCGGGGAGAATTAGATTGAAACTAACAAGATAGCAAAAGTAAACCACAGAGCTCTAGTACAGAGACAACCGTGTAGCATAGGAAGGGCACAAGGTGTCGAGTGGAGTTCCTGTGGAAAAGACCCAGTCCTTCTAGTTGATGACAACTTAGTATTGGGCTATAGTCACTACAAAAAAAGATAATGCAAGTTTATGTCCCAGGAGTAAAGTACAGAATCCAGGTGAAGGGAAGAGATGCTGTCGCTGTATTCCATGTCGTTTGGGCTACATCTGGAGTATTGTTTTCATTCTAGGGGCACATTTAAAGACAACGTTGATAAAATCGGAGACTTCCCAGTTGAAATTTTTTGTTGAAATCATGTTATATAAGGAATAGTTGGAGGGACTGGTGATATTCAGCTTGGAGAAGAAAAATCTAATGGAAGACAAGTTAGCTGCCTTCAACAATTTGAAAGGTTTTCTTCTGGACTGTTCCAGAAAGCATAATGAGGACAAGGAGTAGAAGAATTGTCATTCAGATTTCAGCTTAAGTGACACTTCCTCAGGAACACCAACACCTGGCCTGATGTAGCCACCCAGTACCACGTATGTAACCCTATTTTAATTTTCAGTATAACAGGTATCATTATCTATCATTTAATTTTTTCCCTGTAAACTTAGTTCATTTAATTTTTGTCTGTTTGTCTGTTTTTTCCCACTGGAATATAATTTTCCTGAGAATAAGGTCCCTTCAGCTTTGTTCACAGTTAGATACTGTAGCTTGAACAGTGTTCCTATAATTATTTACTGAATGAATGAATTTACAGAGAAGCAGATTTAGGCCTAAGAGAAGAAAAAAAAATTTTTTTCTGTGGGGATCAATCACTGAGCATACTTTACATTAACCAGTTTTGTCTTTATAGTTTGTCATTAGCTATTTTTTGAGCACTTATATGCCAGAAATAGGCAAAGAAGACAAGACTCAGAGAAGGTAAGTAACTTTGCGCCACCTCATGTTGCTAGAACTGGGATTGTAATCCAGCCTGTCGTGTTGCAAAACCAGTGGGCTTTATACTATACCATAAACAGAACAAGGTTTTTATGATGAGTTTCCCATCACTGGTAGACTTTAAGTCAAGGTTAGATGACCATCCATCAGGGGGCTAAGTTATACTAAATAATGGATTCTTTCATTGGGTGGGATATTGGATTAGATCCAACTGTAAGAGTCTGATTCCATGATGTAATTCATCATGGGATATTATTCTACAACAGGATTTCTTTCTTTTGGAAATAACAAAAGAGAAAGTTAACCTTTTCTGAAAGTGTTGCTTGGAACCCAAGAATGTGAATTTACACAATTACTGAGACATTATCCTTTATTCCTAGCTGGATGGTGTGGAATGTGAAATATATTTGTGTTTCAAATGTGATAATTCCTTAGGAAAAAAACCCCAAATCTTTGAAACTATAAAATGGGAAGTTTTCAGTAAAGTAAGAAAACTGTGTAGTAATCTCATAAATTGTTCAGGGTGAATGTCTAAGCAGAACTTATATAATGAACTCTGAAAAGGAGTCAAACAATGGAAAAAAGGAAACAGACATTGGCAATGTCCCAGGAGTCATTCTTGGAAACAATTAGTCTACCTATTACAGTATTAGCATTAATAGGATTAGCTGATACTATTACCTTATACCTTGAATATATTCAGAATCATGTTTTTTTTTAAAATCAAGTACTGAAGTTTTTTAAGGTGTCAATGTCTGATGAATATTTCATTAATCAGAAATGTTTGCCTCAGGTGTTTGAAAGAAGTTACTTTTGGATTTGTGGACAAAAGATATTCCGAGAAGAGATTAGTTATGATGCAGAGATAAAACAATAAATCATGGCCTCTAGAAACATCATAAGTGACTAACTTTGTGAGAGATCTTTTTCAGAAATCTTAAGCACTTCCCAACCTCCCAATTTTTTGCTAATTCTTTTTGGTTTAGCTTTTTAATGCTCGTAGATAAGGATATTCCTACTTAATTTTCTTAAAAGGTTATGGTGATTTCAGCAGCTATTCATGTGAAATTAATATGCTTCTTAACTGGTATAAAAAATTAAGTGAAGGCAAGTTATAATGTATTTGCAGAATACAGAATATTGGCCTGTTTAGTCGATCAATCCAACATAAAGGTGACTTGTGGTATCCAAAGGAATCATGCAATGGTCGAAAGTGAAAAAGTCAAGTGAATTCAGTAGAGGAGAGAGGTCAGGTAGAGGAGAGAGGTCAGGTAGATGAGAACTAAAAATGGATTTACAAAACTGGATTTTAAAAGTCCTTTTCATATGTGCACCTGGCATATAGAAGTGGCCTGGCAAATGTTAGTTTCCTTCCTTGCTTTGTATTATATGTTCAACTTCTGGCAAAGGAAACATAGTTGAAGAGTTGTGTCTTACATTACACTATAGTCATGACACTAAAAAGTGTAAGTCGAAATTGTATACATTAAATATCTTAACGGGATTATTGGAATCTTCTTTAATATTATTTGTTAACAAGTTATAACCTTATCATTTCTACATTGTGTAAATCTGAGTTGTTTTAAGAACATTTTGCTTGCAGTACACATTTTTAGCTGTTGAGAAATGGGTCATATCTTCTTGGCATAAGATTCAGAATAAAAAGGCAGTATATGACACCTCCCTATTCAAACCAGTTATGAAATAAACTGCTACAATTCATTTATTCTTAAGTGGCAATGTGATGGAATCTGAGAAAGGGGTTCCACTATTCTACTTTTTGTTGAATACAACACTCCAGTCTTGAATTAAAAAGAGTAAGGGTAGGTCATTCAAAATAATTACTTTTCATATAAACACCCTGGTCAAGTTATAAAAATTTTACCACCTCTTGAGGCCACTTATCACTGTACAGTTCCCAAGAGAAAATTAAGACGGAACTATTGAAAACAAGTGAAAATACATGACAGTAATTAACAGTGGAGAAAAAGCCAACTCAGACATAGGCGAGAATATAGTATGTGGGAGAAACCAGCTGTGTGACCATAGCTTAATAGTGTGGAGTTCCTGATGGCGGGGCCTAGAGCATCTTCACTTCAGACTAAGGCTAATTGCAGTATGCCAAGATTGGCCAAAAGCATTCTCTTTCCCCCATTATACATGCTACTCCTTTCCTCCTCTGTGTATCCCACATTCTTAATTATATAACTCACTCTCCACAGAAGAGACAAGTTCTTTTAAAAACATATAATATATAAAATCATGTTTTTACACCAGAGGAATCTTCAGAGTATGGATGTTCTGATATAGTATTTTTCTAGTTTTTGTTTGCTTTAATTCTTCTAAGGAAAAGAGTGCATCAATAACATTATGCAATAATAGATAATATTAAATGTCTTGAGAGTAATTCGAATGCTTGCAATTTCTTTTTTTTTTTCAAGTTAAGGAATTTAGCACTTTTTTTTAACATCTTTATTGGACTATAATTGCTTTACAATGGTGTGTTAGTTTCTGCGTTATAACAAAGTGAATCAGCTATACATATACATATATCCCCATATCCCTTCCCTCTTGCATCTCCCTCCCACCCTCCCTATCCCACCCCTCTAGGTGGTCACAAAGCACCGAGCTGATCTCCATGTGCTATGCGGCTGCTTCCCACTAGCTATCTATTTTACGTTTGCTAGTGTATCTATGTCCGCGCCACTCTCTCACTTCGTCCCAGCTTACCCTTCCCCCTCCCCGTGTCCTCAAGTCCATTCTCTATGTCTGCGTCTTTATTCCTGTCCTGCCCCTAGGTTCTTCAGAACCTTTTTTTTTTTTTTTTTTTAGATTCCATATATATGTGCATATGGTATTTCAGAAAGAGAAGAACAAATGCTTGCAATTTCTAATTTTAAGCTTGGGCATTTTAATTTGAGGCAATAAAAAGAGGAGATTGGTTCCAAGATTAAGTAACATCTTGTAGATCACAAAACAGCAAGAGCATCTATGCCTTGTAATGGTGACGAACAATAACACATCTGCTCCTGTAACACCCACACAATCAAGGCCCTACCGCTATGTTCTAAATGGTGAAGACCCTGCCGCGATTTATTACATGCCCCCTGAAGGAGGCTGAAAAGGAAACTAAGATTGTTGGGTACCTAGTTTACACTAAGCATTTTGCGAGGCACTTTTACATACAGTACCTGGCTTCATTCTTACCAGCATCCTGCAAAGTGAGTATAAGTATCACTATACTCCACTGATAATTCTTCCTTGAAGAATGATACAGTCATAGATGTTACATTTGATAGCATTTTTTTCTGCTGATAAAATGAGGGTGAGATAGATTTGGAGGTTACATTGCCCAATATGGCAGCCACTAGCCACGTGTGATTATTTAAATTTAAATCAGTTAAAATTAAAAATTCAATTCCACGGTCACACTAACCATATTTCAAGGGCTCAGTAGCCACATGTGGCTAGTGGCTACTGAGTTGGACAGTGCAGATTACAGAACATTTCCATCATTGCAGGTTGTTCTATCGGACAGTGCTAATTGGAGGCTTGCAACAATGAGAAAAGATGGCAATTTTACTGAAGAAAACAAAAGTGGAGTTGATATACAGTTGAGTAATTAGATTTAATAGTGAAATAATTTTTGCTCGATGATCATTTATCATGTGACCAGGGACTAAGGTGGGCTTAACATCTCCTTCAGCCAGACTAAACTTTAGAAAGGCTTCTTCCTCATTCTCGGGCCCCCGTCCTCCCTTTTCTTAGATCACTGTCTTTAGAAAACTTGTAAATTACTTCTCTATTCCTTTGAGATGCCCTTTAAAAAGTCTCTTGCCAGTTTCACAATCCAGGAATATCTTTCTCCATGACCTGGGAGCTATCTCTTTAAAATGTAATCATCAAAGGAGACAGCACCTGTATCTCCCAGCTCCCTGGGAGGATAGGAGCCTAAATTCAGTGGGTACCTTCTTCCAAGTTGCAAAACTACCTCCTGTCATAAAGGTATGAGGAGTTTATTTTTCTTTTGGATAAAGCCACTTAGCAAACACAGATAGCCTATGACTTTCCCTAAATTCTCCAGCTCCCCCAACCCTTAAAAAACCTACCCTCCTCCAGTGAAGCTGGGTTCAGAGTTAGTTCTTCCCTAACGCAATAGCCTTGAATAAAGTCTTTCTTGCCTGTTTAATTTTGGTGCAATTTTGCTCTGAAGGAAGTTTTCAGAAAACGAAAATAGTCATTCAAACTACTGTCTTACTGAAAATAGTTTTGATATTCTTTTCCTAAGGTCAACCCCCTGTTGAACGGTCTACCTAGGCAGTCAGACAGTTATGTGCACAAGGTGAAATGGTTCGATTGCAAAGGTAAATACAATTCCAGGATTGAAGGGTACAGAATTACAGTTACATGTAGCTATGCCTGATACTGCTTCAATGCTACACAGACCTGTTACCCAGCTTAACTGCTGTACCATGAAAACACGATGGGAAAGGAAGCCAGGCTTTTTAATCCAGGAATAGTTTCTTCTGGAACGTACTCTTTCTCTAGCTGAACATCAAAGTAAGCCCCACCTAGGCTTGGAATGGTGGGGCTGGCTTCTCAGGTGGGTCCCTCCAGTGATCTGTTTCCACTAGGATTTTGAGGCCCAGCCAAGGCCACTAGACCTAGCTCAAATCTACACTCCCAGCCCTTCCTCCCGTTTATATTCTCTGCAAATTTCAAGGACTTAATCATCATGTCTGCTGGCTTCTTCTCAGCATTTTGCCAAAGCTGAATCACTATTAATACAAAAACACTTCCTTTTCAGAGAGTAAATCCAATAGTTTGCAGAGAGACAGCTCTTTGAAGGAATTTTCTTTCCTTTCTTCATGACATCCCAGGGCATATCCTTCCATTACCACCTGGGCACCAAAGGGGGGTCAGGAAATGTTGACTCCACCCAGATCTGGTTCCTGGTTCACCACCTTTTTAAAAATAATTAATTAATTAATTTGTTTTTATTTTTGGCTGTATTGGGTCTTCATTGTGGTGCGGGGGCTTCTCATTGCAGTGGCTTCTCTTGTTGTGGAGCAGGGGCTCTAGACGTGGGCTTCTGCAGTTGTGGCATGCAGGCTCAGTAGTTGTGGCTCACGGGCTTAGCTGCTCCGTGGCGTGTGGGATCTTCCTGGACCAGGACTCGAACCCATGTCCCCTGCACTTGCAGGTGGATTCTTAACCACTGTGCTACCAGGGAAGCCCACCACCCTTTTTTTTTTAAAAAAAAAAAGAAAGCTAGGGCTTCCCTGGTGGCGCAGTGGTTGAGAGTCCACCTGCCGATGCAGGGGACACGGGGTCGTGCCCCGGTCTGGGAGGATCCCACATGCCATGGAGCAGCTGGGCCTGTGAGCCATGGCCGCTGAGCTTGTGTGTCTGGAGCCTGTGCTCCACAAGGGGAGAGTCCACAGGGGGTGAGAGGCCCCCGGACAGCAAAAAAAAAAAAAAAAAAAGAAAGAAAGAAAGAAAGCTAGATTTGAAAAGAGATAGCTTTTGGGGGTGGAGGTGGGAGTAGGGGTCGACATGGAGGAATCACAAACTTTCATTAGAACTAAAGATACCTGCTAATGTAGAGATATACATTTCTGGTGCTTTATAATTTTCAGAAAGCTTTCATGTTAATTCTTTCAAACCTCCCAACAATCCTGTGGGAACGGGTTTTAATGTTTGCCCACTTGACAGGAACGAAACAAGACCAACTAGGAAGCTTAGAGGCGCTGAGCGGTAAGCAGAGCTTGTAGAAGAGATGTCTGCCTCTACCATCCCCACTTCTCACTGCCATTCTCTGTAAACCGTGGCAGTTTATGCTTGGGCTCCTGTCACTGGCTGAAACTACTCCCTCCAATGAGTAGAGTAGTCCCACGACCTCTTTGTGGAAATCTTTCAGTCCTTATCTTCCAAGAGTGTCATCAGCACTTGACTTTGTGGGCTACGCTCTCCTTGGTTTCTGGGACACCACACTCCTTTGTTTTTTCTCTTGCTTAACTAGTTGCCCATTTAAGGACTTAACTTCCTCTACTTCAGAGCTTTCCAAACAGGCAGAAAGCAAAGAGATACTGACTGCTTTACCCAGACGGTGCCTGGAAGTACAGAACCTCCTAGTTGATGGCCGTCATTACAAGCACTTTTATTCTGTTATCCTGTGAAGGCAACTAAGAAGAATGGATCTGAAAGTGTGCCTCTCTCCTTCCCAGCAACACGGAACTCACTTCCAAGGCCCAGGTGCACATCAACTTTAGCAGCCCAAAGAGGGGAGTACACAGCTCAAGTTATAGCTGGCAGTGGTGCGGAAGCCAGGTAGGGAGGGGTTCCTTCTTATGGGAGCAGCAATCAGAGGACCAAATTCAGTCTTCAGGGATATTAGTGCCAACTCCACTTTTAGTAGCCTCCAAGGTAGCTGCAGGGTGACCATCCTACCAAGGCAGGCTTGTGCATCAAGAGAAAATTTGATCGGCAATCCCACTCCTGGGCATATATCCAGAGAAAACAATAATTTGAAAAGATACATTCACCCCAATGTTCACTGCAGCACTATTTACAGTAGCCAAGACATGTAAGCAACCTGTCCATCGACAGAGTAATGGATAAAGAAGATGTGGTATATTTATACAAAGGACTATTAGCCATGAAAAAGAATGAAATAATGCCATTTGCAGCAACATGGATTGACATAGATATTATCATACTAAGTGAAGTAAGCCAGATAGAGAAAGACAAATATCGTTATGATATCACTTATAAGTGGAAGCTAAAAAAAAAATGATACAAATGAACTTATATACAAAACAGAAATAGACTCACAGACATAGAAAACAAAGTTATAGTTACCAAAGGGAAAAGGTAGGGGTAGGGATAAATTGAGAGTTTGGGATTAACATATACACACTACTGTATATAAAAGAAATAATCAACAAGGACCTAATGTATAGCACAGGGAACTATGCTCAATATTGTATAATAACCTATAAGAGAAAAGAATCTGAAAAAAATAGATATATATGTGTGTATAACTGAATCACTTTGCTGTACACCTGAAACTAACACAACATTGTAAATCAACCATACTTCAATTAAAAAAGAGAAAATTAGATTGGATTCAAAATTCATTTTCATGAAATTTACTATTACATTTGTCAATGAAATTTAAAAAAAAAAAAAAGGAAGGGCCGGGACTTCCCCGGTGGTGCAGTGGTTAAGAATCCACCTGCCAACCCAGGGGACAGGGGTTCAATCCCTGGTCTGGGAAGATCCCACATGCCGCGGAGCAACTAAGCCTGTGCGCCACAACTACTGAGCCTGCACTCTCGAGCCCATGAACCGCAACTACTGCAGCCTGCATGCCTAGAGCCCGTGCTCTGCAGCAAGAGAAGCCACTGCAACGAGAGCACGCACTGCAACAGACAGTAGCCCCCGCCTGCTGCAATGAGAGAAAGATCGTGCGCAGCAATGAAGACCCAACGCAGCCAAAAGAAAATAAACAAAAACAAAGTAATAATATTAAAAAAAAAAGAAGGGCCGATGGATTCTTTATGTACAATATAATTTTAACCATCATAAATTTTTGAGTGGTTATAAAAATTTTTATTACCTATTTGCATGAACATTTCTCACCATTGGTAATAATCAAGAATATGAGAATCCAATTCCCTGAGCAGAGGAAAAAAGCATGTCTGTTTTAAGACTAAATGGCATGTATTATCCAGAGCCCTGATCCTACCCTGTACCAGCAGAGAGGCCCGAAATCCAGCAACACCTCCATCTACCTCTTCACTGATTTTGATTCTCACACTAAAGTGCCCCAAATCACAGAGCCACCATGTCCAGTTCCAACAGAACTGTGCTGCACAGGAGGACCATGGATTCCAAGCGCAGCAGGCCCCTGGCCTGGAGCAGCAACAAAAGCACCTCCAAGCAGGGCTACTCCAGCTCTGGAAGTCCCTGTGATGCCAAGTTGATAAAGAAAAACTTTGCAACAGATATGAACCTAAACTTCCCAAACCTGTCAGTGATTGGGCTCTGCATCCTCTCCTGCTGACAGTGGCCAGGCTTAACCTGCTCCTGACGCCATGGCTGTGGTCCAGCTGAGGTCGCCAAGATTGCAGACTCTGTGGGCCCCCATGCCCTCCCCCATTCCTTATCAGCCCCTCTTT